GTGCCGTTCTGATGCCGACACACACATTTCCCTCATCCCTCCTTTCTCTCAACTTAAACTTCAATTTCCATCTTTAAACTCTTCTTTTTGCTAGAAATCATTCCAGATATTTTTAGAAATGTCTGTTGTGAAGTTTTCAACCATCGCCGTATGGTTAATCAAATTGTACAGCTTGCTAAATTAGCCATGTTGTTGTTGAAATCATTTTGCCAAATTAATGTAAATGTGTGATGTGTTTAAATTGTTTTTAAATAAATGACCCACTGTCGTTGGTGAGTCAAAGATAAACACGTTTCCATCCACATTTAATTAAATTCAATGCACGTTATTATTCAGTCCAGAAAAATGAAAGAATCCGTTTAATTTATGAATATATCACAGCATATGTTCATCTACAAGTGTTCTGTTTTCCGACAAGAGCGCCTGAGTTCTCGAGTTTGATTGTTTAACCAAGGTGAACAGCGGTAAACGGGCCCACAGTGGGTTTTGTAAGGAGCAATAATGTCAAGAATAGTAAGGCAGTGATCAGTAAAAGAGTCAAACAGAAGCTCCACATCATCATCATCATCATCATCATCAGGAGGTGTTGTAAATGAAAAGAGGGAAGAAAAGTTTGCGACTACAAAACTGTCAATAAAGCGTCTGCGTTTACTGGTAACCTGAGAAAAAGTCTCAAATAACAAGAAATATTAAAAGAGACAACCTTATGGTCACTGAAAACAACATCTTTTATATGTAGATTATTAAGAGTGAGTCCATAAGTAAAAACCAGGTCTAAAGTGTGGCCTGCAGTGTGAGCAGGCTCAGACACATGCTGTGAGAAGTTAAAAGAGTCCATAATATTAAGAAAGTCCAGAGCAGGATGGCTTGTTGGATCATCGACATGAAAATTAAAATCCCCAGAGATGATGATCCTATTTAGCTTGAATGTAAAATATAAAAAATCCTGAAAGTCTGAGAGAAAAGATGAAGCAGGTCCAGGTGGTCAATAAACCAGGATGGCATATATAGGTTCAACTTTGCCTATTCGGACCATGATCATCTCAAAGGAGTTGTAAGTAGATGAAGTGATCATTTGACATGAAAAAGTCCTCTTATAGATGACATCAGTGCCACCTCCACGGCCTGTCATCCGTGGTGCAGATAAAAAAGAACACCCCTCAGAAGAGTTCCAGGAGATGTGAAACATCATTTTCACGCTGCCATGTCTCAGAAATAAACAAAAAGTCTAAGCTCTCAGATCGAAACAAGTCATTTAAAATGAAGGACTTATTGGCAACAGAGCGTGCATTTATTACCGACATTTTAGTAGAGAAAGCTGCTGACCGTGTAGAGGGGTCCACAGCAGCATCAGGATGACGTGGCAAGCTGCGCAGTGAGTCAGGATTCCTCCTGGGGTGAACTTTGGATGCCCACAGCTTCAGGTGACAACCTGTGTGGGAAACTTCTGGGAGCGTTTGAACTAATCCAGCATCAACATATGAGGTTGAATCGCCTGGCCGCACCGGGTGCTGCCTCATTTTTCAGAAGCCGACGGAGCAGCACGAAGAAGCCAGCTCTCTTCCCTCACTTCCTTCACCTGCATGTCCAGAGCAGGGACAGATCCACAGGTAAGAGAGGAGAGACGCTGGGAGGGACACCGGGTTCCAGCGGTGGTGGAAATGTGACACCGTTTTGATGACACTGAAGGTTGACCATCACAGACTTGATCGCTAGTAGCGAGTGGCGGTCATATGTCTGTAAGGAAGCCACTCCAGACAGAAACATGACTATAAAATAACATATGAAGTAAGCAAACAACCTGGCAGAGGCCAAGCCTGTAAGGATGTTACTTTTCTGTGGCCCGGTGTGTCTGTTTCCCTCGTGCTCCTCATTAGTTTCCATTGTTGCCACCTGTGTCTCGTCCCAGCTGTTTGTCATCATGTCTCGTCTTCTCCCAGTATTTAAGCAGTCCTATTCTGTCTTGTCCTTTGTC